GCACATTCAAATCTGGAACTTTCTGTCTGTGTGGGGGACAGCTAGAACCACTCCATCGCTGGGCTTCCCTATTTGTCCTATGACTATTGAACTTTGCCAAAATGACATTAAACTACAATAGAGAAGATTAAAACAACAAAGCTAGTGGTGGTCTTTTACACTGTAGGCTATTGTAATTTATTCATTAAATGTGACCCAAAATTTGGAGGAAAATGCAAGTGGTAGTGTCTTGCCTAATGTTTACAAAGGCGTTAAAAATAATCCTGCCTGCGCCGCTTTATCCAGCAAAATGTCAACCCAGTTCACAAAGTATTTTGTTTTAATACGATGGGGGTTCTTCTGCATCTTTGTAAACTTTCCTTCCTATGCCAGTGAAGATCACATTCCTTTGAAGCCCTAGTTTAGGTATTTTGCCCCTGTTGTTTTTCCCCCCACGACTTCCCGGAAGGACAGTCAGCATGCTGTATCTCTTGGGCCTACATTACAGATATCACGCTGGCGTTGGCACTGAACAGCACTGCTCTATTTCTCCGATGCCCTCTGAAGTCCCGTGCTCTGTCCAATTTCTTCCATTGCCTCAGGTCCTTGGTTGACACCTCTGCCATGGTAATGGACCAACCAATCAGAGACACTGTCCTTGACAATCTCACTTTGGCTCATTTTCATACCCCCTTTCCTCTCGCTCAGATTTATAACCTCTACTCCTTACAGCTCCAGATGTTTTGTTCTGCTTTTTACTCTCTGTAATTGCTAATTCAATCAGGTAGTAAAGGAGCAGATGCTCTCCGGATTTGAGCGTACCTGCGTGGCTTCCTATGATGTCTCGCCCTCGTTCAAGGAAACCGGATTTAGTGGAACATCGCGACTCGTAAATATAAGCTTTCAACATTACAATAAGCTAATTTCCTCATGTCGGAAGACGCACAAATCTGCCCAGGTATCAGCTTCTATTACACAGTGCATGAGGGTCCCCTTTAAATCACAATTGCTGTTTAGTTCTGTCAGCTGACTATGGAAGCCTAAACTGCGGTGGGAGCCTTTCTCTGCAGTTTTATTTTATCATCTCTCATCCTTTTTCTCACCAGAGAAAGTGGCAGTCAAGTTTAGTTTGAAGAGAAAAATAAACAGACTGGTTATCCACAGGAATGGGAACGCTGCTTTTGTCCCATTAGGAACATCTGTGTGTGCGGTTTAAGATCACAGCAGGATGTGTGTGTGTGTGTGTGTGTGTGTGTGTGTGTGTGTGTGT